CCTGGGCTGGTGGAAGGTGTCCCTGCCCATGGCAGGGGGTGGATCTGGATGAGCTTTAAGGTCCTTCCCACCCAAAGCATTCCATGGCTCTGTGATGTCTCATCCCATGTCCTGGTCCAGCTTTGCACCAGCCTTCCCACACTAACTGCAGGAGCAGGTTGGTACCAACTGCTGGCTGATGCCTGGCAGTTTTATCAGTTTAGTTTTCTTTGAGGAAGTTTTTCTGTCAATCCAGGCATGTACATCATCCTTTCATAAATGTTGAGATCTCAAGCTCTGTGTTGCACAAATCCAGTGACTTCATAAGTTTGTCACATGTTGGATAAATTTCCTGAAAAATGTTCTTTTGATTGTTTTTGCTTTAACTGGGGTTTTTAACCTCTTTATCCCGTGCTTAAAAATGCTGCTAATTCACTTCATATTATTCAGGTCTTAATTTGCACTTGGATTTCTCCCCTTACCCCCCCCCCCCCCACTATGGATTTCAGAGAATCATAAACCACTTCATAACAGTTCAGTTTAGAGAGATCCAGCTGGACAGGGGACTGGGGCTGTCACTGAACAAGATCTGATAAAACCAGGGAGAAATCTTGAACCCCTCAAATACTATTTTTCCTAAGGATTCCTTATCCCTGTATTCCTTAAACTACTCACAGTCCTGACCCAGCACTGTGAAAGCCTCAAGTTTCAGCTTCAATGCTGCTCAGTTTGCGGGGTTTTATTTTAAAGACAGAAGAAAATTAAACACAGCTACAGTTCCACCATCCTCACTTTGTCTTGATATTTAATTCTTTTTTTTTTCTTTTATTTGTTATGTTCCAAAATTTATGTGCAGGAAGGAGAAGAAATGTTAGATATTTAGTTCAGAACACTGATGTGTGTTGGAATTCAGTCACATGAAGAAAGTCATATTGCACTTAGCATTCAAATTTAATGCTCAGTGGTTTAATTAGTAAAGTATTTAGCAGAAGAATTAATAGTGGGAAAGAAAGGACAAATGGGACATTAGTTTAAGGTCCAAGTGAGACAACATTTGGAAGTGTTACAAATGAAAAAAAGGCAGAAAAAAATAATATAATGACACAGAAACTGAGCAATAAGGGTAAGAAACAGCAAGATGTGCCTCAAAGTGGAAAAATGTAAGATAATATAACTGGAAAGTAAAATAATCCAAACACACTCAGTGCAAAGGAAGGAAGCCCTTGAAAGGCAGCAGCACAACCTGAGCTGCAACAGGCACTGAGTCAGAGCTCAGCTGAGGGTAAAACAATTAACATGAATAAACCCAATAAAAGTGAAGCAATAAAACGTTGTCAGCTCCTGAAAACGTCTGGGGAGGTTTCTTGTTGTCCACAGCTGTTGAAAGCATCTGGATGGAGGGGGGGGAAGTGAATTTTCCAGGCTGCTGGAAGAGGGAAGGAGGAGAGGGAGGCAAAGTGTCCTTCTGTCCTCAGCTGGTGGAGAAGAGGAAATGTTTCCCCAGGAGGAAGGGGATGGTCACTCCTTGGTTCCTTGTGTTTAAAAGGCTGGGACAGAGAGTTGAGGCTGTTTGTGCAGGTGGAGAGAGGGAACAGAGCAGGTGGTTATGGTTGGGTATGTGTACATGCATATATATATATATTTATTTCAGGTATGTGTGCATATATATATATATGTGTGTGTGCTTACACTTATATATAAATCTCTTCTTTCTAACTGAAGCTTTAATTTAAGAGCTGGTCTCATTTGGGATAACAAACCTTGTGGGTCCCTTCCAGCTCAGCACATTCTGGGATTCTGTGCAGTCTTCCTCGTGCTGCTCTGAGCAAGGTGTTCATCCCCGGCTGGAGAGAAGATGGGGGGAATTTTACCCTGCAGGATCACTGTCAGGGTGAAGCTCTGTGATCTGGGCACTCTCCTGCCTGAGCACAGGCAAGAGATTATTGCCCAGGGAGGTTTGGAGTCCCCAGCCCTGGAGGTGTCCAAGGAAGGCCAGGACGTGGCACTCAGAGCTCTGGGCTGGGGGACAGGGTGGGCATTGGGCACAGGTTGGATTTGATGAGGTGGGAGGTCTTTTCCAACCTTAAAGACTCTGTGATTTGACTGCAGGTTGGATGAAATGTTTCTTGCCATCCCAAAGAAGGAGGGTTGTTAAATGCTCTCCTCCTGCAAAACACTCCTGAGCTTCCAGGCTCAGAGAAGCACCAAAAAAAAAAAAAAAAAAAAAAAAAAAAAAAAAAAAAAAAAAAAAAAAAAAAAAAAAAAAAAAAAAAAAAAAAAAAAAAAAAAAAAGGGGAGTTATTGTGTCTGTGTTAGGAAAAAAAAGGAATTTTAAAAGAAAAGGTTGTTCTGGATGCCCTTTTCCTGATTTCTGTGTTTCAGCAAAGGCTTCTGAGCTGTGGAAATTCTGGCTCTCAAGGGAGCACTTTGAGTGGCAGCCACAAAACGTGGTGCACGCCCAGCTGTGTCCCCTGTGCAGTGATACCACCTTTTACTGCTGCTCCTCCCCTTCCTCATCCCTGAAACATCCCAGGAAGGAGGGACAGGAGGTTGCTGGTTTTGAGTCCTGCTCAGAATTTCAGCCGTGCTCAGGAATAAACCACGTTTAGGAGATTTTCCCTTCCTCTGTTCTGGTTCCTCTGGGTTTGTGATGATTTTTTTCCAAGTGCACAAGCTGTAATTGAGTTATTGCCAGGCCTGTTTGCTCTGTGTGGACCAGAGGGGTAGGTGGAAAGAGCCCAAAATCTTCCTTCTAATGCTGGAAAGGTCTTTATTAAAAGTCCAGCAAAGATCTTCAAATGCTTTCTGGACGGGCCCATCTGTCAGCTGAACAACACACCTGCTTGGGGAGTCACAGAGAGAGTCCAGGGTGGCAGTGAGGACACTGATTTTGATTTATTATTTTTTTTTCAGACCTCAAACACCTCCTGGATGTTTTCCAGTCTCTGCCCTGGAGACCCCCCAGCCCCAAGGCCAGAGCACGGGGGGGCAGAGGATGAAGTAAGCCTTTGCTTCTTCTACTTCCAAACCAAAGACTCCCAGTATAAAATATATTTAAAAATGGAAAAGAAGTAGATTTGAGGTGTAAACTGAGGGGTCAGTGAGTGAGGGAAGGGAGTAAAGTGAATTGTGGCCAGAAGACGCCCTGAGTAGCTGTGACCTTCGTGGTCATGACCTGACAGGTGATCCTGGTGAATGGCATTAAGCTGTGAGGATTTGGGTGCCATCTCACTAATTTAACTGATATCTTCCATGCTCTGGTGAAATTCCAGTTGGAAATCAAAGAGGAATCTTTTGTTCTTTAGAAACACCCTGGAAGTTTAGAAACACCCTGAGCAGCAGAAGCTGCTGGGAAGAAATGGGACCTTTCCCTTAGGAGCCTGTTTTAGAGGGAGTGGAGTGTGGGAAGAGGGTGGGACACTCCAACTGCCAGCAAACCTCACACCATGTTCTTCCTCTCCTCACACCCTCTGGGGGGGCCCACCTTGCACACTGGAGGGGGGCTGGGAAAAATTATCCAGTGTTTGTGGCAAAAAGATGCTTTCAAGTAAATGATACTCTGAAGAGGAAGGTCTTTGGATTCTTGGCCATGTAATAAATCTTTTTGGGGCAGGGCTTGTGGCAAGTATTTCATAGAATCATAGACTGACAGAATCATAGAATTATGGACTCACAGAATCGTGGAATTATGGACTCAGAACTGTGGAATTATGGACTCACAAGATGATAGAATAATAGACTGACAGAATCACAGGTTCACAGACTCACAGAATTTGCCTGGCTTGGAAGGGACCCAAAATTTCTTAACTTTCTCTGCAAGATTCTTCTTTACCACTTGCTAACAGAGCAAGGAGGAGTCTCATCCATTGGAGGTGCAAGGTCTGATCTCATTTGTGTGTCACACCTTCCTCTGTGAGTGCTGCTCTCTGGGCTGGTGTTTGGGGCAGGTGGAGCATCTCCAAGACTCCTTCCTGCCTGGTAAAATCTGGAGGTGCAGCTGCCTCTCGCTGTGAAGTCTGGGAGAACTTTCTTTGGAGTTTTATTTGCACAGTGGTGGCTTTTTAACTCTTTCTTTCTGGCAGCTGGGGAGTTCCTTGGCCGTGGTTGTGTCGGAGGATGAATTCATGTGGCTGGCACCATCCTGCCCTTTATCCCTGTGGATTCCCCCAGAGGTGTGGGGGGGATTTTTCCTCCTTTCTATCCATCCTGGCCTGGTGTTCCCTGAACAGGTGATGTCCCTTTGGTGTGACCAGAGTTAACTCTGGCACTGGAAGAACATCACCGGTGATTCTGCCCTCCTGCCCATAGACTGTGGGGAAGTTGCTGCCTGGAATTCGGGATTTTAGCGTGATAAACGTCATGATTATCATCTTTTGGGACAAGGAACATCCCACCTTCCTGGGGCATAAATACCTTTCCTTGTCCATGGACATCCTCAGGGACAACACCCAAGAGGTGCTGGTTTGCTCTCTAATAACCACAGGGTGTGAGCTCTCCCTCCTCCTCACTGCTCCCTAATTGCAGTGGTTTTCACTCTGCATCACCTTAGAACTGTCAGCCTTCATAGCAAGGCCCTTCCTCTTCAGATATGAATTTATTTCTTCCTCCCAGCATCACCCCTTTGACACTGGGCTGGCCAGACTTGATCAAAAATTGCTTTCAAGCCCTGGGATGTTCAGAAGATGCTGAGCTGCTGTTAAGCCTTCTTATTTTTTTTTTTTTTTTTTAATTATTTTTATTTTTTATTTTTATTTTCCTAATCTCATTCTGTATCACAATGTGATTTTCTTCTATAACATAATTGACACGAACCATGTCCTGCAAAAGGACTTGGATGCCTCAGTTCTGAAGTTCAGCCTTCCCGTGGTTTTGCTGCTTTGTTTCAGGCTCTCTCAGTGCTTGTAGTTTAGCCAAGATTTGGGGTGTTTTGCTGGGTTTTTTTATGACTGGGCTTCTGGGAGCACAATTATTAAACAAATTGCAAGGGGCCCTGTGGAAAACGTGCTGCTTGGTGAGAGCAGGAGATTTACAAACGTTTCTTCAGCCCCTTAAAAATACATTTACAGAGCAGTGGAAATGTGGATTGGCTTCAAGTTGGATTCTCAGCTCTCCCGGTTCTCCATAAAGCGGGGTGAACTGTTAATAAATGAACCAGCAAATCAGGAAACAGAAAGGATGTAAAGACAGGCTCCTTATCAGTCTGAATTTTAAAGCCAATCTCCCACTTTAGCTTGTCCACTGAGCTGGTACCTGAGTTCTGCAGCCCTCGAATTACTCACCAGATAAATGAGTTATCACAGTTTTCCCAGAAGGGCTCTGCCAGCAGCAGCAGCAGCAGCGTCTGCAGGGATGTTTAATGCCCTGCAGGCAGAGGCAAAGGTTCCTCCTGGTCTGTTCTAGGGGGTGATGGATGTGCAGGGAAAAGCAGGGCTGCTGCTGGTTTTCCTCATGTGGGGAATTTCTCATTAAAACGGGGGGAAACTTGGGAAGGGGACGAGCCACAGGTACTAAAAAACTAACTCGTGTCATAATTGTCCTCCTACTATCTCTCTACACTCTGCAACCTGGGGGGAAAATTGTCTTATGAGGGTATTTATTTGCATCACAAAAAGTGGGTAAAAGAAAACAGCAAATGATCCAGTTGTGCCAAGGTAAAATGAACTCTCCACTGGAAATTCCTCAGAGGAATTCCAGCTGCCTTATTCAACAAATGAGGTTTTCAAGTGCTTAAAACTCCTGTGTGAGGTCACTGACTGGAGGTTTGGATGTTTTGAGGTGACTTTGGAGGTCTCCTTCCATTAGCTCAGGTTGTTTCAACCTGTCCTTGGACACTTCCAGGGATCCAGGGGCAGCCACAGCTTCTCTGCCCAACCTGTGCCAGGGCCTGCCCACCCTCACAGCCAACAATTCCTTCCCAATCTCCCATCTCTCCCTGCCCTCTGGCAGTGGGAAGCCATTCCCTGTGTCCTGTCCCTCCATCCCTTGTCCCCAGTCCCTCTCCAGCTCTCCTGGAGCCCCTTTAGGCCCTGCAAGGGGCTCTCAGGTGTCCCTGGATCCTTCTCTTCTCCAGGTGACCCCCCCAGCTCTCCCAGCCTGGCTCCAGAGCAGAGGGGCTCCTTTCCAGACAGATCAGCCTGCAGAGTTGAACCCTCCTTCTTTTCCTCCTTCCTTTTATCTTTCCTTCCTTCTTTCCATCCCTCCCTTTCCTCTGCTGCAGGTGGATCCAGCAAAACCCCTGCCCAGCTCCCAGCCCTGGTGATAAAAGTGTTAATGGCACAGGAGGGAGACTTTTTTTCCCCCTCTCCCCCCACTGCAGCTTTTAAGTTTGGGGAGCATGTGCCTTGATTTTAATATAAAGTAGCCATTGATGGGCCATGCCCTGAATAAAAAGGGCTTTTCTTTCTTCCCTGGCACCGAGGCTTTGATTGTACAGAGAGTTTTGTGGCAGTGCAGTTGTGAATGCATTTGTGTGTGTGTGGGTGTGGGTGTGTGTGTGGGGAGGGGGTGTAGAAACAGGCACCAGCAGCACAGATTGATTTAGAAACCGGTGGATTTTGCTCTGTCCATCCTCTTTCTGCCCTCTCTGATCATCAGCCAACCTTCTGCTTGGGATTTCCACCCTGAGGTGTCTTCAGCTCCAGGGGCTGCCAGGACACCCTTGTGCACAGAGACAGGGGAGAGAGAAAATTCTTCCCTGCTGCCCTATGCAAATAGCCCCAAACCCTCTCACACATCCCTGAAAGCTGCATTGTGTCGGAGTTTCTCCCAGGAATGTCATGTAATTCCAGTGGTTTGTGCCACTGCTTGCTTTTAAAGGCAGTAATAACAGTAATTGTGCTTTTCACCTCTTGATCTCAAAGTGGAGCACAAAGTATGGGGGAACACGAAGTTCTCTGCTGAAGGAGCAGAGACCCAGGGTGAGGGAACCTCGTGTAGCTCCGTGGGCAGGTGGTGACTGGGGAGATGCCCTACCCTGACTGCAGCAAAGAGCTATTTCTTATTAAAAAAAAAAAATTTAATAAATATATGTATAAAACCCATTTAGCTGGAGTGAGTGACTCTAAGCCTTGCCTGGGAACTCCCACATTCCTGCTCCATCTCTCCAGGGACATCAGTACCTGTGGATCTTCCTGACTCTCTGCCTGCCCTGGGTGGGGGGAATATTAAGGCTTAATGGAAGCTTTGCAGCCGAGGGGTAAATGGGTTTAATTTGGACACTTTTTGTAGCAGAAATAATGTGGTTGGCTGAGTTATGCTACAGCATTTCTTTTTCTAACAATGCCAGCAAATTTTGGTGACAATTTTCCAGTTCAGTAATGTTAACATGTTGTATTTCAGCTCAGATTGAGTCCCCATTTCATTCATTCATTCCATGAAAATCCCACACCTGCTGGGCACTTCCTGAGTGTTCCAAAGTGTTCCTGCCAGGTGTCAGAAAGCCAGGAGTGGTTGCAGGGACCCTCCTGGTCTCCTCAGGGCTCCGGGGGTGTCATCTGCAACGCCAGTGCATGGCCTGGCAGTTTAAAATCATGGAATTGTGAATCCAAGTCCACCCTTTGGTGCGACCCTCCTGCAAATCCCCTCTCCATCCCATCAGGGGGTGGCACATCCCAGTGTGTGTCTGGGACCTGAGAGATCAGCGGCCTGTGCAAGCAAAAATGCAACTTTTAAACCCATCTTGGGGCATATCAATGACCTTGGGGGGGGGAAAATTCCCTCCAGTTCAGCATTCCCTGAGGCTGCCAGGGAAATACTTGGTGCCTTGGTGCCTGTCACACCCTCTTTTCTGGCTGAATGGGGGGGGAAAAAGCACATTTGAGACAAAAAATATTTCTGTATTCCTCACCCCAGCTCTGTGGATTGTGTGAGGAGCTGTAGAAGGGACAACATTTGACTTCAAGCCCCCAATGCTTCAGAAAATTAGTGTGGCTTTAAACAAGCTGATGGTCCTGGAGTGTTTCTTATATCCCAAAATAATTCTCACCCGTTCTCTGGGCTGT